GAAGGACGATCCCGTTCCCGTGGTCAATTTTGGAGGCGCTGGAATAGTAAGGTGTCGAAGATGTCGAACTTATATTAACTTCTCGTGCTCCTTTAGAGATGGTGGGCGAAGATGGATTTGTAGTATGTGTGGTTTCACCAATGAAGTGCCTTCAGAGTATTTTTCACCGCTTGATCAGAATGGAAAGCGACGTGATGCTGCCGAACGACCTGAGTTGCATCGCGGCTCTGTCGAGTTTGTGGCTCCTGCTGAATACATGGTACGTCCACCTATGCCGCCTGTTTACTTGTTCGTTATGGAGACCACCCCAGCATCGGTTAAAAGTGGCGCTTTGGCCGCTGCTATTGCAGGTATTAAGAACTCTATCAATTCTATGCCAAACGAGGGACGCACGCGTGTCGGTATTATCACTTTTGACTCGGCTATTCATTTCTTCAGGTTGTCTCCCGGTGAGGATGCCGAACCGTCCATATTCGTCATTTCTGACATTAATGACGTTTTCCTGCCCACTCCGGAAAGTATTATGGTGCAGCTGGACGATTGTCGTCCTTGCTTTGAACGCGCTTTGGATATGATTGCCCAGTCACAGATTGAGATCAAAGGCGTCGTATCCGCTCCATCCTGTCTTGGGGCCGCTGTAAAGGGTGCGCAGAAAGCTCTGGAATATAGTGGCGGAAAGATGCTTATCTTCGCTGCATCCAGACCTACTGTTGGACCTGGCTCTCTTCGGGAGCGTGGTGATAATTCTTACCTTGGCACCGATCAGGAACGTGGTATTCTTAGACCAGACTCGGCTGTGTACAGTCAGATGGCTGTTACTATGTCAAAGTATCAAATCAGCTGTGATATGTTCCTCTGTCCTCCACCCCCAGGGCACTATCTTGATGTGTCTACGCTTGCACCGCTTATGAAATTCACTGGTGGGGAACTGTTCTTCTGTCACAATTTTGATGCTCCAAAGGACTCGCCGCGTCTCCAACTTGCGATTAATCGCGTCCTTGCACGTGAGACCGGCTTGGAGGCCGTCATGCGTATCAGGGCTACTAAAAGTGTCAGATGTACTAATTTCAGTGGCCGCTTCTTCCTCAGATCGGCGGATCTACTTTCTTTGCCTAATGTTGACGCGGATAAGTCGTTTGCAGTTCAATTCCAGTTTGAGGATAGTAGTGTTGGGGAAGGACCGTTTTGTTTGCAGGTTGCTCTGTTGTACACCACCACCACCGGTGAACGTCGCATTCGCGTGCATACTGTTGCAATACCTGTCACGAGTTCGTTGTCAGATTTGTTCTTGAGAGTGGACGCACCGGCCACACTTAATATTTTTGCTCGACAGTCTGCGGATGGTATGAAGGACCGCTCCCTCAACGAGTTGAAGAAGAATTTGTTGGACAAGGTTATCACAGCCTTGGCAAAATACAGGCAAGTTTGTCAGACGCAGTACCCGGCTGTACTTGGCAGTAGTGAACTGCTTTTGCCGGACTCTATGGTTCTTCTTCCGCTTTACATGCATGGGCTGTCAAAGACGCCCATTCTTAGTCGCGATGCATCTGGCGCTTTCTTATACAAGTTTGACGATAAGTCTGCTCTGGCCCATTCTGTGGATATTATGAACGCCGCGGAGACAAGTGCTCTTGTGTATCCTAATGTCATTCAGATCTATCCGTGGCCGGCTGGGGAAGGAAAAGTTGTCAAATATCCCCCTGGGGCTCCAGCGACAGTTGCCACGCTCAAATCTGACGTCGGTGTCCTCATTGATGACGGCCAATCTCTGATTTTATGGCTTGGTAGAGCAATTCTTCAAAGATTCACAAGTGAACTTCTTGGAAAGGCAGTTTCAGGTCCCGTCGATCCTCGCTACTTATCTGTTGAGCTGATGAGGAGAGGGAACACTATTAAGGGCCCCATATCGCAGGTGTATACCACTGTGAACTCGATACTGGCTGCACGCAAATCGTTTATGCCGTTTCATGTAGTCCCTGAAGGAGATCAACGTATGCAACCGCGAGTTGAAGCGTTGATGACTGAAGATCGTTCGGCGTCGACTATGAACTACAGAGAATTTTTATTAGAAGTACAGAGGAGAATCGCGCAAACAGCATCGCGGAAATGAGTGTACCAATGTACCATGGGGATACATTATTCTGAAGCATAAAATGTGTAACGTGTATTGAGATGGAAGTAATTATGACCCAGACAGACAAGAAAAACATGACTGTCTGAAGAAGCTGCTTTTGCTTTTCTTTGAAGAGCAAGAGGAGCTAAGGTAGTTGTTGCATCGACAGATTGAACAAAAGAGTCGCAGCCTGCTTCTAGGGACCCAATATTTCGCTTCACAACATGTACGGTTTTCGAATGAAACTAAAGTGGACCGTATGCTAACTTATCTTATTGAGTTACCTTGACACATAGAGGGAAGGCTTACCAGAATTTCTGCTGAATTGTACACTAAAGCTAACGGCAGCTCGCCATCTCACGGCAAATTATCGGCTTTGGCGAGTACTCCTTATGCAACAATCGTCCGATCCTTTTCACACCGACAAGGTTACACGTCCTTCTTCGATTCTGTATTGTCAGTGACAATTGATTCGGTCTCCTCAGTAGTCGTCGCTCCATCCGCGACGAGATAACCGACAACCGGGTATTTGGATGAGTACTTTGCATGCCACTGCATGTGCGTATCTTTCTGACTTTCCGTGAGATCCGAGAGATCACCGGTAACCTTGTCGGCATCAGTAGTGCTGGTTGCCAGACCGTGGGTTGCGTTCTTACCCGCGAACACGTGATACGGACCTCCAGGACCGTAGAACTGCTTTGAAGATGTTACATCAAAGATTGTTACCTTGTCACTGAAGGGATCTTTGACTCCTACATAAATCGGTTGATCGTTTTCCCCTTTAGCCTTGCTCAACTCCGTTTCCGTTACTGGTCTCTCCACGGCAGACGCGGTTTCAGAAGTGGCCATGTTATAATGCCGACTCTGCTTGGGATGCTTCGCCAATTGCCTAAGGATGATGAAGGACAAAACGCCTATTGCTGCGATAGCGAGAGCTAGACTGCTATTGCGTTTACGAGTTTTGGGCGCAGAGCGAGTGTTAGATCGCCGGTAGACACTGCCAAAAGCGCTTCATTCTCCATCAATGCGATATCGCAAATCATTCGTCAAAAAAAAGCGTAACATACCCGTACGAACTCCCAGACGCGCTTGTCACGACCTCCGCCTTCGCGCTGGCTGTGTGTTGGTCCATTTCGGTAACGAGGATAAGCATTTTGAACTCTTCTTTTGAGATTTTCTCTTCTGATTCAAGATAGATGACGTTTTGCAAGAGTACCAATGGAGCGAAGGTACGAAGGTAGCTTTGCAAAATCACCGATCCAGGAACAAAGAGTTTCGTAGAGATTAGTTGAACAACGGTTGACTGTCGCGAAGCACCATGGCCGTCGGCGGAAGCGAGCTACCCTTGGTAAGCAATGCAGAACAAACCGGTCAGTGGAGTTATGGACTGGTGAAATTTTTGTGACTGCAACTTTTAAATTGTGTGCGAGCCAGATTCTGTCTCTCATCAGATACCCTTAGGGTATTCCCTTTGGTGCCAAGAGGTACCGGTGGTAGTCGAAGGAGTTTGTTGGCGTAGACTATTCGTTCGTTCGTTCGTTCGTTCGTTCTTTCGTAACTATCGAAAACCACCTCTTCCCAAACATAACACGCGGAATCATGCGTGATCATGCCGTTTAGGCTGACTGTGTGACGCTGTTGAAGGTGTTCCATTCTGTCCTCTTGAATACTGTATGCCCTGTAGATAGAGCGAACACCGACGAATATGCGTGTGGCGTTTTCTGATACTTGTTCAAGAACGCGTTTGAACTTGTATTCGTCTGTGGCCTCAGCCAGAAAGGCGACTTTCCTGTTCGCAACACAAGACAGACAGATACATACGTTTGATCAGCACTACTTGATCAGAGAGATGCTGCAAGCCACTGGTGATGGGTAACGTCCCTTCCAACTCAGTTGCTTGAGCAACATACTGACTGCGGTCGCACTGTTTGTGGTTGCTTGTCATTGAGTGCCGCGCAACGAGTGCGGAAAGCGTTGTATGGTTTCTTCCAAGAAGAAGAAAGGCGCTGTTAGAAGTGAGGGCAGGTGCTGCTCCGGCCAGCTGTTGGGCAGATGTACCACAAGCAGATCACTGCCGTGTGTGAACGTTGTTGATAATTACGTTGATGATTCCAAAACAGTTGCTTTCAGCGGTGAGCTGGTCAGGAGTGTTTGTGATTGTTACGGTTGACAAACAGATGGGTGTGTGCCGACAATGGGCATTCGGATGATATGGATGCTGAGAAAGATGCGAGAGAAGCATATATTGATGCTGTGAGGGTTTTGTTGAGTGGAGTGTTCTGAGGGACTTTTGAGGTCTGGGGAGCGCTGCGCTCTATGTAGCGATGAAGCACGGCGCTGTACAGAGGTTGGTGGAGAGAAAGACGTGCAATGTAACTGATCAGTTTACGATAGATGTGATTGCGAAGGGTGCTATTGCTGTGCTAAGGAGGTGACCAACCGTCGGCAGTCACATTGTGGCAGTGATGATGTAGCTGGAGTCAGATATAAGGAACAGTTTTTCTCCACGCAGGAATCTCTTTTTTGGTATTGTGTCGTTGGATCCTGGACAGTGTGAGCTGAGAGTATCATCATTCTCCGAGCTAGATCAGATGCGATCATTCATCATGCACGTGTTGCGCCAGATGTGACGCGACGAGCGCGTGGTTGCAGACGATATTGCGCCAGGTTGAGAAAAGGAATAGGGGAGCACTTGTTGAGGCACAGTGCGGAAACGAGCTATGTATCATTGTGGAAGGGGCATGAAAGCTTCATGACGGTAAAAAAATGTTGAGCGGGACGCTGAGGAAGGGTGCTGGAGTGCGGGGGGGATGTTTTGAGCGGGAGAAGGAGGAACCCGGCGGGCGGCGGCGGCGGTAAAACAGGCCGTCGTGGTGCGAAAATGATGTACACCTGCCGGGACTCGAACCCGGAATCTCCTCCTACCTCACGCCGTTCCGGAGGGAGGCGCCGTTGATGGGAGAAGCAACGTTATCCATTGGGCCACAGGTGCTGCCATAGATGGCAATGATTCTCGCAGCTCTTTATAGCAGAGCCAAGCTTACACACTGCTGCCGCGTGTAGCGCACCACTGCCCGCAACAAGGATTGTGATTGGCGCGCTCGCCGCCGCCCGCATGTCCAACTCGTGCGCGACAATCAACTTTTGATGCACAAACTGCGCGTGAACGACGCGCTTGATCTGAGAGCCCACATCCCGACAGCACTCCCACGCGCCCACAAAAAATCACAACACGCAATCAACCACCCCCTCACGGCGCCGACTGTAGCAGTCCAACTCTTTTCCTCCTTGTTCAACCCCCCCCTTCCCCCAGCGTCCCTTCTTCCTCCGCTGCGCACATTCCCCCCCTCCATCCATTTTCATTCCTCCCTGCCACAATCCTCACATCAACCATCATATCCACGCCACCACCAACCACGTCGTCTGCGCCACCGCAGAACGTAACAAACAAACAATGGACTCCTCAATGAACAACACCGTCGACGTCTCCTCTCTTCCAAAAGTCGTGCGTCAGAATCTATCAACGCTTCGAAAATTCCGAAAACAAGTCTCCCCCTATCTACCGCTCGCCTGTCGCATTCTGCTCATCTCAACCTTTCTCGAGGACGGCATTCGAGTGCTCTTCGAACTGAATCATCAAGTCGATTTTCTTCATCACGAATACTACATCCCCTCCTTCATAGCCGCTTTCATGTTACTTACAAACATAATTATATCCTTCATCGCCATTGCAATCATTCTCGCGGGCAAACGCTTCGCCCGCGGCATGTACGAAAATCTCGCTGCGTACGCTCTCATCGGCTGCGTCGTGTACCAGCAAGTGCTCTACGGACGTCACTCCCCTATCGGATCTGGAAATGTCGGTTTTCTAGTTCGCAACTTGTGTTTGTCGGGAAGTCTCTTGCTCATCACTTGTCAATCCCGAATAGCCCAGGGCAGAAGCGCCTTACCCTTGGGCTTGCTCGACGGTCAGGCCGACAAGCAAACTACAGTCGCATATCTCCAGCTCGCTTCGCGAATTATGCTTGTGCTTTTGGGACTTGAGTTTATCACAACCCTCGGCGTCCTCGGTACTATGATGGCCATTCCGGTCATCGTTGCTGTCCTTATCGGCTACAGACTCGAGATAAGCGGCATCGTCTTATTCGGCTTCTATCTCGTTCATAACATTATCAACTCTGCATTCTGGTCTGTTAAGGGTGCTTACATATCCCAAATCATGCAGTACGAGTAAGTTTCCTGCCGGTTTTTGAACATGTGCGAATCCGCTCTCATCTTGCGCGAACAATTTCTGACGCTCTTTACTCTCGCTCTCTCTGTCATCGCTCAGATTCTTCCAAACCTTGTCAATTATGGGAGGCCTGTTGCTTTTGATTATGATTGGCCCAGGCGCCATTTCCGTCGATGAAATGAGAAGTCGGAAGGCATTCTAGCTCTCAAAATCTATCGTCTCCAAAGTAACCACAGTAGCCTACTCGCCCCACCATGCGACGCTTTTAAAGCGCTATAATTCTCGCCCATCACAGCCAAACAAGTTTAAACTGCTCAGGGCACGATAAACATTGTGAATAATCATTCGTCGACAACTTTTCTTTTTGTGTGGTTTACATCATCATCGCCATGGCTCAAGTGCCGAAATTGCGCTCCCCGTTTCTTGTTCCGCATCCGAATGAGCTTTCATAACCCTTTACCAATTCAGTTCGTGTGTTTGGACCGTCTAACGCGTGTTTCTTAAAATTGAGTTGTTACTCAAGCTGGATCACTTCCTCCCGTGATATCGGTTTGGGTTTTGGTCGTATCTCAGGAGAATCTGGAAGCGCCTCTGCAGCTGGGTCTAGCTTTGGTTTCTTCCTCGGCACAGCTTCGAGCGGTTTACTCTTCTGTCCATCGATTTGCATCTTGTCTTCAGCTCCCTCTTTCTTCTCACGCTTACCATTGGTGGGGTTCTTGACTAGAACTCCTTTGAATGGCTTGCCATCAATTACAATCGATACTAAAAGCCCCATATCAGTGACTTCCAGAACCTTTCCTGGAAAAGGACCACGGGAACGTCCGTTAGTTCCGTCTGCATCTTTGTTCGCCTTAGCTTGCACTTTCTTTGCTGCGCTGTCTTCTGTTCCAGTGTTCTGGACGGCGTTGTTAACGTCAGTTTTAACGTCAGTTTCACCAACGGCCGTTCTAAGTGCTTTGGGTCCAAAAAACCTTGCCGCTTGAACACTGGCTTTCAACTTCGGAAGTAGACGACCGTACTGCGTTCCAGGTAACACATTGCCATCGGCATCACAACCACCAACCGCAAAGAGTAAGTCATTTGCTCGTGCGAACCCGTGGAGGATTCTCCCTGTTGCTGGTGTCTTTCCCACGTTCTTGACGCGTCTCGTATGCGCACGATCCAACCTGTCCAAATCGATTACGTACGAGAACTCTGAATCCATTACCTCCTGCCCGGAATTGAGAATTCCACCCCACACAAGTACTTGTACTGTGCTGGTCGGCAAGGCTACCAACGAATGCCCCGCCAACGGAGGAAGTCGGTTTTCAGTTTGACCCCCAACAGGTTTGAGGTGTATTTCCTTCCATCTCCATGTCTGAGGATCCTTCTCATCTTGGAAGAATAACCAGCAATCACCCAAGATACTGCTTCCACCGTCCCCGCCAACAACGAGCATTCCATATCCAGGCAACCAAATCGCGCCATGAGACTCTCGTTCTCTAGGATGCCAAGTTATTTTTTCCGGGTTCGGACTCCTACCTATAGAGTTGTGTGTATCCTTCCTCTTCTTTGAATTAACAACGCGTATCGTTTCCAGTTTCCAATCGCTAGTTCTCAACTTATACACTACGCTTCCGTTCCGCTCGCTGCGCCCAAAACCACCAAAAATGTACACACCGGGTACCTGGCCTTTAGCCCTCCCAAACACAGCCGACAAGCAGCTCAGCACGGGCAGTCGCTCGAAATCTGAACGTCCGATTTCACGCCAAGAGCTGTCGTAGTAGTCAAACACCCAGATGTCATTCATCGCAATAGTGGGCGATACCTCAGTCCCTCCGGTTTCCCATGTTTCACCTCCGATGATGATCAGCATATGGGATGAGATTGCTACAGCAGTATGCAATAGTCGAGGAGATGGCTTTGGGCCAGACGCATAGGTGACGTTATGCCATTGACGACGTTCCACATGAAGAACGAACATATCGTTTTGCAGTGAACCAGTTTCATCCTCACCTCCGAACATCACAAGCAGCGGAGTATTGAGCAAGCGCGTCATAGTATGCCCTTTCCGAGGTGGTGGAGCTGGCCCTCTAGCTTCAAAATTACCTAACCATTCCATGTTGGATTATTGAGTTTGCTTGAAAGATATCCTCAAACGATGGAAGTGATTGTCTGTCGGATGCTTTTTTAAACTGAAATCAGCAGACGTGCCGTTGTTTCAGAGCAAACTGAGTATGATTCAGTAAGGTTCGAAATTAGCTAGCAGAGGAATACCCTCAGTCTTTTTCGTGATGCCTTTTATCTGACGGGCGCGCTATGAAATTGGCATAGAATGCATGAATGGTTGTGTAACAAGCTCGGTTGGCATCTAGAGTAATGCCGCAGCAACAGTGGACCGAACCCAAGTGGGTGAACGGCGTTTGCTGCCTGAGTGTGTTCGCCGAAGCAAAACCAGTCTCTCAGTGAATCGCTGGTTTGTTGTTGGATGAAATGAGGCTTTCCGTTATTCGCGACTAAGAGTAATTTTCCGTGGGCAGGTCACGCCCCAAGTGAAGTTCGACCTCGGTGAAGTTGTCGAGGAGCAAATGAAATGTCTATTAGTTGTGGAAGGTGTTCGACTTGACCGCCCGACGCTTTACGCCGCCCTTTGTTCCTATCGAAGCAAAAATAATATTTGGACATGATTTATGCCGGGGATCAATAGAGCGAGTAAAAGGTATTGCCTTTATAGGGCACCCCTCTAGTACTGTGCAATAGCTTCGCTAATTTAGCGAAATGGTGCACCCCTAAAAGTCCTCGCGAAGCCCGTATACGTGTACACTAATGGGGTTAATCAACGGTGATTTAGCACTTTCCAGATCCTTATTATAGGGCACCCACCTTCAAAAGTGCACTTCTTCACTTCCATGCATGGAGATGCGCTATAAACGCGGTTTGAAGGCAACCATAAAAATCAGTAAATTTCTGTTCCTGGATTGCTATCCTTGGTTTGGGTTAATCAAGCGGAGTGCATCTTGTCGGGTTGGTGACATGCGCACAACGAATTCCTCTTTTGTTGGTCCCCGAGCAAAGTGTGTTCCTTCGAGTAGATACATCAAAATTCCTAACCAGTTATATTGCGTACTCAGGAGGAGTATTCTTTGCTTGGTTTCAAAGCGGATGAAGACAATCGATAGAGGAAAGTCTAGGCAAGTCTATCTATATGAGTTCACTACATGTGGACAAAAAGGAATGCTTCTTCTTCTTCTTCTTTATTTTGGGTTCAATATGCCTGATTACTACATATTGATAGTGTTTTCTTATGAGAAAAACCTCTCACTCCCAAGAAAAGAAAGGCTAACAGCTTTCTGTGGCCACTGGCCGACTGTCTCCGCCAAAGTCTTCCCTCTTCTTTCTGCAGGTGCAGGAAGCTCGCGTCTCCCAGGTTCCGTAAAGAGCTGCAACTGAACTGGGCGCATCTGTTTCATACGGTTTTCTACGCCTCCCATGGTGATGATTTTGCTTGTTTTTTCAATTTGTTTATACTTAGTTTTGTATGGCGGAACTCTACGAAATTGTTCCCTGTCTAGGAGTTTCTGCGACTGTTTCCGCCTTTTTCGTTTCCGGTTACAACTCGATATCAGCTGGAAATTCCATCTAGTACCGATTGCAAGCTATCTTTTAGATTTAGTTTGTCAATTCATGTTTAAACCTCTTTGCCTAAAGAAAGCAACATATGTTTAACTCTGGTTTGAGCGAGTGCTGGCCTTCCTTAATAGAGAAGGCTTCTTTTTGTAGAA